ATCAGGACTTCTGCTTCCTGGTAGAAGATTGAACTATAACTTTACTGCTGTGGCCAACTATCATCCTTCCTGAGCCTGCAATGAAATGAAAGTACAGAAATGTAGAAAGGAATAAATGCATAATAGTGAAGAGATTTGGAGCCAAGTAGGAGATCATAATGGACAAGATATTTCAGCAAATTGTCAGAACATATTGTGGCTGGGAGTGGGTGAATAGGTCTAAAAATGCCATAACCTAGAATGTACTACAAGGGGACTGCAGAAAAGGTAACTGATGTAATTCTAGAGAGATTTAGGTTCATAAACAATAGGTACAAATAATTGAATACATGAGTGAAAAGTAGAGCTTGTTTTAGGGTCGTTATAGGGAAAATGGGCTTTACGTGAAGTCTTTTCTACCACCTTATTCTTGGCATTTACTAGTAGGCATTATTATGCAACTCTTCTTTTGAGAAATTGAATGATTTCCTTGAAGAACAGTAAGACTTTTTCACTTGGATTTGGTACCCCAGAATAACACCTCCTTTCATTCTAAAATTCAAGCAGATCCACAGTTTCACAATACACACCTTGTTCCTGACTCTAAAGCAAAGCCTGCCTGTTAGCCTACCTTTCCTCAACTTAGCCTACACAGAAAGCATCTAGTCAGAATTTCCCTCAGCAGAGAGGCCTGGTGGTGAATAGGTTTACTCAGTGGAGGAACACTCACTGTTCAGTGGAGGAAACCCACACTAGCTGCCCACAACTTCAGTGATACACAGCTATATATAACAGCATGATTGAACCTCACAGTGTTGAGGTATAGGAGCCAGACACAAGAGAATAAATTATGCCATTTATTAGATATACCAACAGGCAAAACAACAACATTGGTTGGGAGAGGGTGTTAGACAATAACCATATAAAAAAATCAAAGTAATTACCCAAAAAGTCAAGATATTGCTTACCTTTGGGAGGTGGCAATTGTGATTTAGAAGGGGTACATAAAAGGCTTTTGGGGTCCTGGCATTGTTCTGAGCAGAAACTATACAAATGTTCTCTGTGATGAGCATAACACTTATGTATTAACATGTTTTTCTGTATGAATGTTAAATCTTACAGCAAAAACATGTTTGAGTTCAGAAAAGGGATCCCAGAGGAAATTGGGGCAGTTTTATAAATAAGCATTTTTAATCCTCTCTTTCATTCTAAGAATTCTAAAAAGATAATATATTCCTAAAATAGGAATAGGATACTATGAAAAAGAGGCAATTAAAGAACAGAAAAGAGCCCAGAGATTAAAAGTATGATTGCTGACATTAAAGCTTGAGTGAAAGGTCTAAAAGATAGAATTGATTTTTTTAAAAAAGTTCCAGAATATAGAGAAAGATGACTAAGAGGCTAAAATTTGAGAGGGAAAAAATAATAGAGAGTCAATCCAAGAGGTATGGTTTCTAACTAGTATAAGAGAATTAGTTTCAGAAGAGAGAACTGAGTAAATGCAGTGGAGAAAATAAAGCAATGATGTTAACAGCATTTCCCCAGAGCTGAAGGATACTAATTTTTAGTTTGAAAAGTGCTCAACCCAGTGAATATAGGGGAAAAAAATTAACCGATGTCAAAATGAATATTTAATTCAAGAAGGCCAGTTGAGTGTGAGGAAGGGAGATTGAGAACTCACTGAGCCTGTACACTAACATCAGATTTCTCACCAAAGATATACTTGTTGTTAGAATGTAGGAGAGCACCTTCAAGAAGCTCCGAGAGAGATGATGTCCAACTTTGAATATACCTGTATAAGATAAAAGTAAGAGGGGAGCATAATAAAAACATTTTCAGACAGCATGGTTACATTCCACATACTCTTTCTTGGGAAATTATATAAGAATAAGATTCGGTAAAACAGGTGTAAACTAAGACATAGGCCTGAGGAAATAATGGGTCTAACTCAGGAGAGCAAGAAAAGTCTCAAGATGATCGCTTGTACAATGTGCTTAGGAAATAAGGTTGGAAGGAAGATCTCTACGGGAATGAGAAGGACAGGGTGACTCAGTGTAAGTCTAAGTAACATGACTAACAGGCTAGGAAACAATAAAAATGATTAAAAAAAAATATGGGAGAAAATAGGAAAGCAACTGAAAAATCCAGGGGAAAACTGAAAGCTATGCAAGAAAGGCATGGTTAAGATCTGAGGACCACTAAAATACAGCTGGATTTTAAACACTTGATGAAGCCTAAGAAAAGACTGGGCAGCTGGTCAAATAGTGATAGCGCCATTCCCTGATTGAGTCAAGACATTTTACTGTAACCACAAAATTGAGGTAGCAGTGTTGATGGAGATATTTTATCATAGTTGTTTTGAATCAGCTGTATTAAATGGTTGTGCTCTTAATATAAAACCACTGTCTTTTTTCCATTGCCGAGTAAGTGCCCAAAAGGCATCCTTAATCCTTACTGTGTCCCAAATGCCTGTTAAGTATGAGAGACTTTCCCTGTCTACTCTATTTCATATTGTTTTAATGTTTTATAAGTATGTTGTCTCTCATGATTTTTTTGTAATTATAAAATGTTTAAGTCTGTTGGAATTAATTTAACAACTAAATGTTAATTTATCCTCTAAACCCATCATCATATTTACCATCATTATAAAATTCTTAAATGTAAGTACGATGAGTATTGAACACTGTTAGAAATCTAATTGTGATTTTTGTGTCTTTGTGCAGTTTGAGGCTTAGAGTAAGGGATCACATTGTAACTGTCTTCTCTTCCTCTAAGTGTGTTGTCTGATACCTAATCATTTAATGTTAGAAGATGCAGGATGTTAAAATAAGCAGAGATGTCTTCCTTCTGAATAGGTAGATGGAAAACAGTGGAAACGATTATTAAGCTAACAAATCACAATTGAAAGTAAATTGCCATTGTATGTAATGGCCATTTATATAAGTTTATATATGAACTTGGCAAAACTAATCTGTGGTGATAGAGGTCAGAAAAATGGTTATATTTGGAGGTTAGGTATTGATTGTGAGGGCCAAATATGGAAAACTTTTGGGATGCTGGAAATGCTATATTTTTTCATCTTGGAGGTTTTGTGGGTACATGCATATGTAAAAATTAATCTAAATGTGATTTATGGTTAAAGAAAAAAAGTAAGAAATAAGAGCACCTGAGATGCAGGTTGTTTAAAGTACAAGTGAATTATTAGAGTATTGGCAGACATATTGCCTAAAGTGAGTGAGGACACTTTTTTCCCATTTATTACTTTTATAACAAAAAATATAACAAAAGATGACTTAATTATATAGGTTGCATGTATTCTGATAAAATATAAGTATATAAAATTTAAAAAAAATGGAAGGGCTCCGTTCTTAGAGGTAATCACTGTTGACAGTTGTCTTTCAAACCTTTCCTATGTGTACAATAGCATTCTTTAAACATACAAATTTTTAGTAGTATCAAACTATGTTGTTCCGAAACTTGCTTTTTTGCACCCAGTCAACAACATATAATAAATATCCTCCAATATCAGGTTACACATTCATCTGATTCTCTTTAATGATTTCATGGTCCGCTAGAGTTGTTTATACATAATTTAGTTGGCCACTTCCCTAGAGTTATGAGGTATCTTATTATTTTACTAATGCAAATAGTGCTGTGATGCATTTCAATCTGTATTTGTATATTTATGCAAATATTATAGAATAATTGAAGAGCTAGAAAACCTAGGTTAATTTTGATAGCTGTTACAAGATTGCTCTCCAGTTCCAGCACCTGTGAACCATAACCTTATCAACATTGTTACCAATTTTTGTTTCTTTAGGGATTTAAAAATAAGGTTAATATGTTTATTTTATTTTTTAAAGGCATGGAAATATGTGATTTATTATTGTTATTTAAATAATTTTTTATTTTTCAATTACAGTGGACATACCATATTATATTAGTTTCAGGTGTACACTCCAGTGATTAGACATTGTATAACCTACTAAGTGATCATCTGATGTTTTCAGGCTTTTGAAATATTTGCCGATTAGCCTGGTCCATGTGGCTCAGCTGGTTGGGTGGTGTTCCACAAACTGAAGGTTTGTGGGTTCGAGTCCCATCAGTGCACATGACTGGGTTGCAAGATTGGTCCCTGGTCAGAGCGTGTGCTAAAGGCAACTAATCGATGTTCATATCCCTCTCTCCCTCCCCTTCCTCTTTGTAAAAGCAATGAAAAAAAAAGTCCTCAAGTGAGGATAAAAAGAAAAGCTTGCTATTAAATGGCCAGAAATGGAATATCATTGTCTTATTTTGCTTTTCTCAGATCATTAGTGTAGTTGAACTTCCTTTCTTAGGTTAATTATCAATTTATTTATATTTTTTGTTAATTAATTCTATGTGCCCTATGTCAGTTTTTCTTAGTTTTAGAGTTCTTTGTGTAGGACATGAACCCTTATTTCTGTTAGGCACATTGCAGGTATCTTCTTCCAGTCCGTTTCATAGATAGTAATCAAAGGTTTTAATTTAACAGTTTACTGTATTATGCAAGGTAATATTACAAAGGAATTCTTGGTTTTTTTTTTTTCTTTGCAGATTTATTTTACAGCATAGAAATCACCGTTCATCATCCTACAGAAAAATTAGCTATTTTTGGTTAACATCAGATTTAAGTATATCTCATATTTAATCTTATAGCTTATATAAGTAAAGCCATTAATATATGAAAGATAATTATTTTTGATTCTGGAAATGTTTGGATATGTGACAATATGCAAACTAGTGGCTGAAGAAAAAGACTACTAAATATGTGAAATATTATACCATATCCAGCAGAAAAAGATTTCTAAAACATTGGGTATACACGTAGAAGAGAGTGATTATGTTAGGCTCTTATGTGAAGTATGTTGGAACTAGAGCTGTCGATGTAATTTTTAAATTTTAACCTGTATTATAGTCATTGTAATTGATAAACATTATTTAATTGTCTTCTGTATTCTGTTTTCTCTACCTCCCTCCTTCTCTTTTCTTTTTGGTTACAGATCATACATCAGTTGGCGGGCTGGGAGACAGTTTTTATGAATATTTACTGAAAGCATGGTTGATGTCAGATAAAACAGACCATGAGGCGAGAAAAATGTATGATGATGCCATTGAGGTAATTATGGTCAAGAACACTTACCTGTTTAACATATTGAATATCCAATGTATTTGATAGTGACAGATGAACACCTTATATGTTATTTATTATATGCATTTGTTGTAGAGTTTGTTAGTATTTTTATGTAGAAGTCATACTAAGTTTTCTTTATTGTGGCATTTTAAAGAAATTGTTGAAGGAATTTAGTGTAGCATATTTATGTATGAACATTTATTTTAATTACTTTTAGTTATTGTCTACAAAGACTGGAAAAACTTCTGATTTTACATACATTTCCATTAACATTTATTCTTTCAAATGACTCATTTAACCTTCATATTGAGAGCCTAATCGGTCCAACAATAAGGGCAAAACATGCATATAGTACTTCCCACGTGCCAGACACTATTCTAACCCCTCTTACATATGTGATGTAGTTTAATCTTTCCTACCACTTTACACACGAAGACCGTAAGGCACTGGGAGCATAAGTAACCTTAAGAAGCTCGCATAGCTAGGAAGTGATGGAGCCTGGAACTGAACAGGCTGGCTCTAGAGCCTGTGCTCTTAACCCCTATACCATGTTTATATAACCTCATACCACAGTGTTGTGACACTTTAAAATTGGAACAAGTTTCTTTCTTAGAAACACCTGTGATATTTCCAAGCAAAAACTGTATGAAATAGAAAAAGTATGTTAACCAGTTAGTAAGTTATTTGCTTTCCAATTAGTATAAACATATCCATTTAATGATTTTAATTACTTTTTTAAAGTCATATATTTTGTATATACTACAAAGTATATACAATTCTGATGGTAGTCATTGATCAGTATTGAGTTACAGTTGTTGTTTGTCTTTAAATTAAACCAAGGATCTTATTACCTATTTTATATCTTTATCTTTTAGGGAACCAGTTTTCTATAGCTGTTCTCAAAAGTGCACAGGAGTTGACCTAATATGTCACACGTAGTACTTTGTCCATTGTAGGCATTCAATAAATGTTTCTTGAGGGACCATGTTAACTAAGAAATTCAACTAAATTAATGTTTATTAAGAAGTCTCCATTTTGGTACATGACTTCCAAAATTCTCTGTGAAGTCTTATGTTTTGAAAAGTTGGAGTTTTATTCTGTTATTAAACTTTAAGCCTAGACATTTTTATGATCAAAGAAAAGTCATTATCTAGGAAGAATGTTATATTCTTAGAATCATAGTGTTGATCATAGCCCTTAGTTATTCCCACTAGATTACAGATGGGTACCTTGAAGGCAGACTAATTGTTTATCAGTGTCTCAGTGCCTTGTACAATACCTGAAACCGTAGGTGATTCAATAAGTATTTGGTATTTGAAACAATAGGTAATTCAATAAGTAAAATGTTAAATATATTTGTTAATATTTTAAATATATTTTTATTTTTAATTATATTTATATTTAAAATATATTTAATGCACTACATCTTAGCCCATTTTTACATTTATGTACAGTTATAGATTTTATATTTAATCATTAATTTTTTAAATATGTAAAAATTTTAAGAATATGTACCTTTTTAAAACTTCATTTTGAATAAGGAAGTGGTATCAGTATTTGTGAAGATTTGTTGAACACATAATAGAAGGGCAATCATATTACTCTTAACTGCAATTCAACAGTTTGGCATTTTATTTAAGTTGAACTCTTAGACATTTGTCATTTTTTAATGAGAGAAGAGAGCCCTACAAGAAATTTTAGGGGCCTGTAAGTGAATTACTGGTAAAAATGTCCTATTTTTACCTGCTCTTTAATCCTAGTAGATCCATGGGGATATGTTTAATATCTTTAATTATAACACAGTAAGATTTATGTTGAAATGAATAGCAATAACAAAATGACAAAAATATCATACAGTGGTCTAGGATCAAACTATGGATATCATTCTGTAGGCATTTACTGAGTGCTTTCCATGTGGAAAACATGCTAATGCTAGATGCCATGAGGTCCACAAAGATGAAAAACATTGTCCCTATACTTAGAACACTAATCTTTTCATTTGTGCTTCAGAATACTATGGTTAAAAGAAGATAACAACAGTAAAAATTTATAATCCAGTGGTTTCTTATTTTGCTCATTAACTTCTTCTCATTTCCCTAACAGGTGAAATATAATTATCTACCATTTATTTATAAAATGGCATTAATTAAACATTTATTGAGTTCATATTACACTTATAAGCCTTGTGGTGTATAAAATGATAAATAAGGCATACTCATTATAGTTCTGTAAAACATTAATATAAAGAATATAGAATATATTTTACTAAAGCTGATTGTTACTGAGCTTGTCAGAGAACGACCCACAAGAAAAATGTGGGTTAATTCTAGTTCCTTTTTATTGTCAGAAAAGTATAGTCTCTAATCATATAATAATTTCCACCAAAGAGAACTGAATTCATGCAATTTCTTGAACTTTTTTATAGAAGTATCTCTAGAGGTAGAGAATCCATAGACTCTCTCAGCAAAAGGGAGAACATAGTCCAAAGTAACAAAGCTCTTAAAAATCTCATTTTTAAAATTAAATGTAATTGTTGGACTCTGTGTAATATTCAAATTTAATATAAAATACTTCTCTTGCCATCCTCATGACTTTTGAGTAAAATTGACATTGCAGGAGGGTGGACTGTGTTTATCACATGACCTCTCTTAAACAGGGCACAACACCCAAACAAAGGCCTCCGTTGAGAAGAAAGAGACTGAGGGGTTCAGTTTCACCTTTCAACTAGTTTCTAAAGCTTTATAAGGTGCAAGGTACCTTACCTAAAGGTGCCTTTTTAAAGTACTTTGAGAAGAGGTATAGTTACATGAAAAAGGAGAAGCCATTGGAACTAATTATCAAAATTAAAATTTTCTGATTAGCTTAGGTATTCTTGATATTCAGTTTTTGTTGTATGAAATAGAAAATAAATGGATAGTCTTTGGGATCTAATATGTCATCATTATCTAAATTGAATGATTATTATGAATATTATTTAGCTCAAGGAAAAAAGTAATCTTTAAACTAGTCTCCCCTCGTCCACCTTGTTTTGTTAAAAGTAGTGATTTGTTCAAATTTATGCAACTTAATTACTCATTCAAAACTTAGTTATTGTAAATTAAGCCTTCCAGTTTGGAAAAGTTAGTGCTTTGTGGAATATCATATTACCAAGGTTTTTTAAAAAAAATAGTTTTAAAAAATATTTATTTATTTTTAGAGAGAGGAAGAGAGAGAGAGAGAGAAACATTGATGTATGGTTGCATTCCGCGCGCCCTGTGTGAGAGACCTGGCCTGCAACCCAGTCATGAGCCCTACGCTGGGAATCAAACTAATGACCCTTTAGTTCACAGACTGGTACTCAATCCACTGAGCAACACTAGCCAGGGCTATATCACCAAGGTTTTATATTCAGAAAGCTGCAGTAAGTTTGAACACTAACATTTTGCTTATGGCATTTTGAATATCTATTCTTTCTTGTAGGCTATAGAAAAACATCTTATTAAGAAGTCCCGTGGAGGCCTTACCTTTATTGGAGAATGGAAGAATGGGCACCTGGAAAAGAAGATGGGGCATTTGGCCTGCTTTGCTGGGGGAATGTTTGCACTTGGAGCAGATGGTTCCAGGGACAAAGCTGGTCATTATTTAGAGCTAGGGGCGGAAATTGCACGTACATGTCATGAGTCATATGACAGAACTGGTAAGAATATTAATAACACTAATACTTAGCCCAGGATAACCTACTAATTAAAAATATGTCCAGGAATCAGAAGGAAAATATATAGCATTTTTATTTCAAAATAGATTCCTCTAATACAGTAAATTGTTTTCTTAAGAACTTGAATTTTAATTCTGAACTGTGTTCCTGCATCATTTTCTTTTTATTATTTCTGAAATCTATTGTTTTGTTAATAAAGGTTTTGAAGAACTTGTCTTAAAAATAAGAGGTAGGGCATTTGGCGATGTATGGGATAACAGTATTTATTTTATTATAGTATGAACCTATTTAGCCATTCATTTCAGCTTTTGCAAAAACAGTTACTTAAAAGGGCACAAAATAGATTGATTTAGGTTACCTGCGTTGTCTATCCTCTTGTGAAAATAAGAAGATAATAGTAGTTATATTGAATGTATAATTGGTATCGAGGTAACTAGTAGTTTCTCTCTTAGTTCACCAATAATTTTTGAGTTGTTGGTGCCTTTATTTATTTTTTAAGATTTTGTTTAGCTAGAGGAGAAAGTAGGGAAAAAGCGGAAGAGAAACATTGATGTGTGAGAGAAACATTTATCAGTTGCCTCTCGCATGCGCCCCAACTAGGGACCAGGCCCACAATGCCTGCATGTGTCCTGACCAGGGGTCAAACTGTCACCCTTTGGCTTTGCAGATGACACTTAACCAACTTAGCCACACCAGCCAGGGCTGTTGGTGTCTTTAACTAAAAAATCCTATGGCATTGCACTAGGCAAATTATGTAATGTTTCTGGGCTTCAGTGACCTTACTTGGAAAATGAGATGATTCTTAATGATGACAATAATTGGTTCTCGGCAGTGAAAAATATATTTTTTATGTATACAGCATAGATATACATACAGTTATAGGTATGTATTAAAATTTTATGGAGAAAGAAGGCAATTAGGTTTTTTAAAAGTCTGAAAATAGGGTTAAGAAAAAGTGGACTAGGCCTTCCAAGGTTTTTTGTGGCTTTAAAAATATATGTTTCTGTATGAAATAATAGATAATAAGTTCCCTGGAAGGTTAAAAACCAGTCATTTCTCTTTGTGATATCAGGAGTTGAATTGTTGCCTATATTAAATAACTGAATTTCTGTTTTAGGGTTAATTTATTATTAGGTACCATGACACAAATACAATTGACATAAAATTTATTCTGGTTCAAAATCTGTCAGGTTCTTTTTACATAATAAGGAATTGAGCTTTTGGTGAAATTGACCCTTCGATTCTCTCAGTGACTAAATCAAGGATTCCACTTCTTAACAAAATAAAACTAAGTCAAAAGGACATTGGAGCAGATTTTATTTTAGGGTAGTTTAAGTGTTAGTGTATAATACATGTAAAATAAGTGGCCCGAGTTACAGATACAAGCTAAATTATCATGATGATAGAGAGTATTAAATATATACTTAAAAACATATATACTTAAAAACAGAGCTCAAATTAATAAGACATTGAGGACCAGAATGGATATTTCGTGTTTGTATTAGAACACATAATAAGACTTGTTGTTATGCAGATTTTGACTACAAATCAAGTAATGAATGTAAAATAGTAATATTTCATAACAGCATATTAAAAATATGATATACCATAGTTATTGTAATGAATCATTCTCTCCATTAAACATGGAGCACCTATTGTATGCCAAGCATTATGCTGGATGCTCATTGGTTAAAGTATGAACAAGATGTATTTCTGCCTTTGAAAAATTTGTAGAATGTCAGGTAAGTGAAAGAATCCTCTATATTATATTTCTCATTTTCACAATTCATAAAGACACTGCTGATGCTGATATGAAACACTGTGATTATGGAAAGAACATATGAGCTAGGATTCAAAATTCCCTTCCTCCACTGTTTATTATCTGTGAGCCTTAGGCAAATCATTTGAACTTCCTAAGCCTCAGTGGCTACACATGCGAAAAACTGGAATGGTAATATCTACTGTGTCTTCTTCATAATGTTGTAAATATAAATGAAATTTTTAAAAAATGCAGTCTATCATTGTTTCCATCATGCTTGTTCTGATTGTCATCCTCACATTGTAAATGTGCTGCAAAAGATTACTGTTTGATTTGTGTACTATATTTCAGGTCTTTCACTGTGTTGTACTTATCTTTAATCCTAGCTTAGATGCTTTAATTAAAAAGTATGATCTGAGTTTTGCTTATTTCCAACCAGGTCATTACATCTTCTGCTGTGTTTTCTTATAGCTGTGCTATAATTTTTGGCCACCTCATTTAAAATATCCACCCACTTCTTACCAGTTATTCCAGCTAAATTCATATGGCAATTATTTCCTTGGAGTTTCACTTTCATTTGTTGTTGGAATTAGACTTAACATTAACTCAAAATTTGGTAATCTTCATATATTTCACCTTATTGGTAAACATGTCCTGCTGCTTAATATTTAGCTGGGTTTGTAGGAAACATTGCTGAATCTGTTCATGAAACTGAGCAGTAACTTAGTGGTAGTTTCAATCTGGTATAGCTCCAGGGGAAGCTAGATTGGTATGTTATTTTAGTTTGTTCTGGGTATAAATGCAAAACTGGTGCCAGGACTTCCAAAATACAGTACTGTATTTTTGGGATTTCTGGATTTAAAAAAAATGTCTAAGCATCATTAAAATAGTGACTATTTTACAGTTTAATTTATTTCATATTGAAATTGGGCAAAACCTCCCTTAGACCGTGTGCTATCACATTTGGCAGCAGGGGAATTTAATCTCTTTAGGGGCATATAACGTTGTCCAGTGGACAAAAGATCCATTGAACATGGAATACTAACATGGTTGATGTGATTCAGTTGGTTGGAGCTTTATCCCAAAGCCAGAAGTTTGCCGATTCAGTTTCCAGTCAGGGCATATAATCTAGATTGTGGGTTCATTCCCCGGTCTGGGTGCATACAGTCCCCAGTCCAGGTGCATATGAGCGGCAACCAATTTATGCTTCTCTCTGTCATCAGTGTTTCTCTCTCTTCCATCCTGACTCTCTGAAAAAATGTCCTTGGGAAAGGATAAAAAAAGTTAAAAGAGTTTCCACAACTCTTTTTTTCCTTAGAGGGAAGGATACAGGAAAAGAGTTTAAGTTCTTCCCTTCATGTTAGCCCAAACTATAGTCAGATCGCCTGTCCGACAATAGTCCTTGTGCTTTTTTCTTTTGTTGTATTTCTTTTCTTGACTGGAGCATACTTATTTTTCTATCTATATGGGTCCTCCGTATCTTGGAGTACTCATGTGAATTGCATTCCCCATGACTTTATAAAGTAATCTGTGCCTTTAAACTTTCATTATCTTACTACTTACTTTTATCACATTTGATATTTTACTTAATTTTTTTATTTGTTCATGTCTCTGTACCCATATTATGTGATTTTTGCATCCTCTGGAATTCTTTTTATCCAGTCACTAAATTATTTATGGTTTCGCCTTAATTTTTAATTTTTAGACTAGTTATTTTCCTTTTAGGAATGAAATATCAAATGTAAGTGGAAAATTTAAGACAGGAAATAAAAACTAAATGAAATTATTTTTTACATTTCTTAAACAAAAGAGCACCTAAGAATAGTGCCTTCAGAAACATGAAGCTGATGGTTTGGCCAAAATAATGCATGTGGTAGCTCATTACAGTTGCACTCACCAGCTCCTCACAGGATGAATATGTTCTCTTTCTGGTATGCTTTATTTGTGAAATTACGAATGACCAATAAATTAAGCATGATTTTTAGTGAGAAGTTTAAAATATTAGTTCCATACAGCCAATTTCTGCTTCAGTTCAGATGATACTATGATTGTAATTACTGAAGTTATTTAATTTAAAGTTAGTCTTAAGATTAACATTTGAGCCCTGGCTGGTATGGTTCAGTGGATTGAGTGGCGGCCTGCAAACCAAAGAGTGGCCGGTTTGATTCCCAGTCAGGGCACATGCCTGGGTTGTGGGCCAGGTCCCCGGTTGGGGGAACCATGAGAGGCAACCACATGTTGATGTTATCTCCCTCTCTTCTCCATCCCTCCCCCCCCGCTAAAAATAAATAAATAAAATCTTTAAAAAAAAAGAATAACATTTGTAAACTCCATATGATCACTTCTTAGCACACATAGTCTTAGGAAAATGTGTAAGAAAATACCTTACTTTTTTTTATTGGATTACTATCATATCAGTGCTTATGATGTTTGACTTTTATCATCATTTTAAAAGTATTTATTAAATACCCATTAAATTTGATTGTCAGACCTCTCAGTAGCTGGATAGAAGTTTTCTTATGAAATATTGATAATTTATTGGTTATTCCTAATTTCAAATCCCATTGAGGAGCTGTCCAGTGCTTTTTGTACACACATAAAGTTTTGCATAAAATTTCAGAGGCATCTTAGACTCAAATCTGTCTCCCTCTTCCAAAGCCTACCATAGAATTTGTGACCCTCTATGGTAGTTAAAAACCCCTGCTTGAGTTCTCTTTCAGCTCTCCAAGACTTAGCAGAAGACAAACTAGTTATTAATTCTTCTGGGTCATGTGTTTTGCTTTTCATCAAACTGTCTACCGTCACCACAGTGTTTTTGTTTTGTGTTTTGGGGTGGGGAGAATGGTAAGAAAGGCTTTGTTTTCACCTCCTTTGAATTGTGATTATTTAGACCTTACGGTGTCAACCCTGTAATGCTAAAATTTGGCCACAGCAACACGTGTCATGCCAACAGCTCAGCCATGATCTTTTTTGTGGCCCACCAGCATTATAGTTCTTTTACTACCTTTTCATTTCTAAGAAAATATAAAAATGTGCAGCATTATCATGAAAGAGGTTGGAAATCTTGAAACTATTTGCCAACAGTGCAGCCTAGTAAAAGAAAGAAAGATGACCACTGAGAATGGTAATTGTGTGCGACTTCAGCATCCCAATGAAAGATGGCTTCATTGCCCAAGTGTAGGGTGCTGGGTGTGATTAGAAAGTAGTTCTTAAAAAGCTTTTCCTGTAGTGCTATATTCCAGCCTAAATGGAAATCACATCATTCAAGGAATAGTATGTAATATAGAAACATATGTGTATGGCTATGTCAAACTGGATAGAAGTTTTCTAACAAAATATTGGTAATTTGTTGGTAACTTGTAACTTCAGGAATAAATGGGCAAATTACTGGTGAAATTTCGTAATGATTGGCAGTGTCAACTCTACCTTGCTGAATATTTTGAGACTACAGGAGAAGAGAGTTTAATTTTAAAACTGATTTAAATTTTAAAATATACATATTTATATATAATATATAATGTATATAATTATATATAATATATACATTATATATAAAATATATTAAAAATATATATTATATAAAATATATATTTTATATATATATATAGCATGCTTTTTTAAAAAAAAGTACATACTCTAAAACTAAATGTAATTCAAGGTCTAAGCTCTGAGCTCTAAAATGTCACTAGGGGGAAAAAATGACCTAAGCTCTAAAATGTTTTCTTATGTGTATGTTATTAAAAAGACTTTAAAATTGCCTTGACTTTTTAAAAACAATTATGCACAGTACAGTTATCTGTCTCATTTTACTTTGGGCCAAAACAGAATATGTAATGCCTTCTGTCTTACCTTTGCATTTGTTTCCAAAAGACTACCAGACCCTTGTCTGTATAGTTAGGTTTAGCAGTGTGTTGATGTACATTATTTATGAGAGAGATTTTATGTCAGAATAATAGGGATATTTATGTCTATTGTAAGAAAGCCAAATGTGGATTTGTAAAAGTCACTGATTTTGCAAAACAGCAATGTAAAAATAAAACAACAAAAATAACTTTACCCCCATTCCTTCAGGGGAGAAAAAAGCTCTGGCATAGAAACACAAGTGGTTTATTGTGACCATTTATTTCTTTTGTCATGTTACAGCATTAAAGCTAGGCCCCGAATCCTTCAAGTTTGATGGTGCAGTAGAGGCTGTGGCCGTCCGGCAGGCTGAGAAGTATTACATCCTCCGTCCAGAAGTCATTGAAACCTATTGGTACCTGTGGCGATTCACTCATGATCCAAGATACAGGCAGTGGGGCTGGGAAGCAGCTCTGGTAAATAAACCAGTTTTTCATGTCATGTGCAAGAGTGTTACATCAAGGCCTTCTCTAGTGTCGCGTATCCTCCCCCATATTACCTCATCGTGTTCAGTAACTATGGGACTATTTCTGTTTATCTGATGGAAAACTTGTTTAATCGGTTTAAGTTTCTTAATAAGCAAAAGTAAACCTTAGACTCCAGTTTAGTTCTCTACGAGAAGTATTTTCCTGCTAGTATTCACTCATTATAATTGAGTAACTACAAAGAGTCATTTAAAAGGCAGTTTTTCACTATGATTATAAACTTTTTATACTTCCCTATTAATGCTCAAACTCCAAAAAGAACCCCAAAATTACAAAACTGTCTAGATTCACAGTTTGGATAGGTTACCCTATTCTTTTCAGCTTGTTGTTCTAAGCAATTCCTTAGTGGATCATCATGAGAAGGATCAGTGGATTGTTTAAAATGTTTTAGATTGATGGACAAATATATATATATATATTTGAAAGGAAGGATTTTTAATGGTTAGTAAGTAAAGAAAGCAAGTGGTTTACTTTTAGCAATACTTGGCTTTGAGAGAACTCATGGCTCTCAGTACCTGGGGAGAAAGAGAAACATTAGTCTTTTTGTGAAAGTATAGCTTATTCCTGAGAATGAGGAAGTGTTTTATTCACTGAGATGTACTAATTATGATAAATAGTAATTAGGATGAATATTCCTATTTAAATTACTTAAGCCTATAGATGGAATTCTAGGTGAGATAAGTAATGTCAGTAAAGTGCTCAGACGAGAACATGCAAGGTATGTTCTAGGTCAGAATGTAGACCAGTTTGTGTAAAAAGGTTTCACAGTGGCAACCAGAGAAAGGAGTCTGAAGCCATTGTGTCTGTGGCCTTATGTGCCAGATCAAGGGATCTGTACGTTACTCAGTGACTGAGAGACAGCACACACACAGACACCTCTCTCAGTTACTACGGAGGTGTTTCTCCTGAGGGTACAGAAAGCCCTTTGCCTATCTAAAAGCCATAGATGTTTTTTATCACCACCTCCTCCTACCCACCACACCTCCCTAACTTTAAGAGTTCTTTATGGGGCTACTAAAGAGCTCTCAAAGGGGGAGGAACTATTAAAGGCTTTTCAGTGGGAAGTAACAAAACAAAAGAGTCTGATTGTAATTTGCAAATTGGTGGGTTTTGAAGGTGAGGAGGCTTACATGCCATTTGTCATTCAGACTCTGATAGTCCTTATGCAGCTAACAGTAGAGAATAGTAATGGAAGGGGATTACAGAACAGGAGCAGAGGGGGCCGCATTTGTTGATGCTGCTTTTCCACCTGCGCCCAACATCGGGAACGTAGCTGCCAGGGAAACTGTGTGCCACCGTTGAAGAGGGAGCCCAGCTGTAATGCAGAGGCTCAGGAATGCGACATACACACTTGTGGTAACAGTGGCTTGTTAATGCTATTTTCAAACAATATTTTCTATAGGAGCAATGGATAGGCAAAGTAATCCTGCAATAAATCTGACTTGACTGTCCGCTAATATTGCATGGTTCTTATTTAGAGGAATAAGGGAGGTGGATCTGAATCAGGGGTCAGGGGTGGTGGCAGAAACCTCCTCTTATTGAGAAATACTAAGATAATTTCTTCTGTTCCTAAGGTCGTTTTTTTCCTGTGCCACTTCTTAATGTATGGCCCAACTTTCACCCATCGAAGAGAGGATTGACAAATGCAAACTTTAACCTACATCTGTCTAAATTTAAATTAACAGGAGTTCAAATTTTGCTCTTAATAGCCCATCTGGCCACACACAAACTCACAAGCATAAAGAACAAGATTGTGAAATAGTTAATGCTTTCGATTCTAGTTTCAAAAGTATGTTTGATGAGAAAGGGGTTAGGCATGGAGACAAAGGAGGAGGATTCACATCTTAAGTAGAATTTGCTTGCTTGCTTGCCCACCACTATCCTCCCCTGTTGGATGTGAAGAAAATAAAGGGAAGATGGGCTGAGACAGAGTAGTGGTATCTCTGGCCTTCTGTAGCTTTAGCTATTACGTGTACATTCTCAAACTTCCAAACATTTGAGGACGGTATGCATGAAAATTAGCCTTTAGGGAGTGACTTTAAGTGGCTTAAAGATTAGTCGTGCTTCCCTGTTCGTTTCTCAGTATTCTTCAACTGTTCTGATAGTTCTGTGTGGGTAAAGACACACAGTCATTTTGCAAAACACAGTGTTTAAAAACTCTTCTATTTAAAATATGTTTAAAATATTTAGATTGAGGAAAGTACCAAACCCTTTGATAAGAAGTCTTGAAAATGTAATCAAAATGAAACTGTATTAAAAAGAACAGTTTGATTAAGAAAACACTTTCAATGTTAATTAGCTTTTCATCAGAAAGAAGACCAGAAAAGTAAGAATAGTAGCGAGAACAATGACCACACTTTCATTCCACAGTATCACTGGGTCAGGTGGAGAAAGAAGTCCACGTGTGCTTTCAGCTTTTCATGAAAGGCTTAATTCTGGAGGCTTATGCAGGCTTAAAATACACCTGCATAAGCAGGATATTTAGTTGCTTTGAATTAAAAACAAGGTTTTGAAGAGATTCCATTTAATTTAGTATGTTTTATTTAGACATGTTCAAAGATGCAGAAAGAGACATAAATTAAGAATTTTTACTCCCAGTCAGTAGTTAATGTGGAGCAAATTAGTTGGCCTCAGTTTTCCCACTTAAAAAGTAGAGCTAACACAACCTCATAGGGTTGTTGGAAATTTAAATATTAATGCATTAAAGCTCTTAGAAGAGCCTTCAGCATGATCAAATGCTTCATAATTGTTAGCTCTTAATATTGTAATTATTATTGTAGTAGGTGTGTGGGTGGGTGCCTCCTGCCAGCTGGTGCCAGCTATAATGCCTAACTCACAGAGTGGTGACAATACAATCTCTGTCACATTGTATGTTTGCAGTACATATGATCTCATTGCTGTTACTATGCAGAGCCCCTAAGTAATGCTTTCTTTAGTATGTTTGGGTTATTGTTTATCTTTGGAAATTATAAAATTGCATTTAAAATTTTTAATTCAAATTGACCTCCCTCTTGATTTGTCAGAATTAGTGAGACTTTATTGTGTCATACAGGCCTTGAATCCAGGGTGAATAGCCTAAATTTGACTCCTAAGTTAGGAAAATGTAAGATATCTTAAAAGGATTTAGGAGTTTTGAAGAGGGAGAAATTCCATAGGAAATAGCATATCTTAGTTAATTTTTCCAGGGGGAACTATTTCCATTTGATAATAAACTTTATTCTTAAACAGTCATATTCTCATATAGAGCTCTGTGAACTTTTGACTGTTGTCCCGTAACTGTAAAACGTGAAATTTGTCGAATTGATTCTTTCATCTGCTCTCTTTCACAGGCTATTGAGAAGTATTGCCGAGTCAGTGGTGGGTTCTCTGGGGTGAAGGATGTGTATTCCTCGACTCCCGCCCATGACGACGTGCAGCAGAGCTTCTTTCTTGCTGAAACGTTAAAGTAGGTAGAAGCCTTTTTAAACATTTTGTATTGTATGCTGGTTTTGCTGTATGATTACTACATGATGAATTATGACTGTAGTATGTACCACTGGATTTTATTATCAATATCTTTTTATTAAATTGGGTCTTAGATTTTTAGCTGCACACCAAGAAGAATGACTTAGCCTATCTATGTATGAGGTAGATACTTTGTCAAAAAAGAGTTTAATACCTTTATTTTGTCCTTAGTTCTTTAGTGTGCATTAGAATCATCCGGAAGGCTTTTTAAAAAACAGGTAACTGGGCCATCCCCGCAGTGTCTGATTCAGTAGCTCTAGGGTGGAACCTAGGAATCTGCATTTATGACAAGCTTCTGGACAATGTGAATGATTCTGGTCCGGGAACCACGCCTGAACTCCTCGCTCTAGCTGATGAAATCTGTTGGGAGTAATCATGGTGTTTTGATGGCACTAGAGGATATATGACCATAGCTACCCATCCTTTCAGTGGAGAGTTCCATAAAGATATACATGAAAGGAATGATGGAAAAGAAAAAAGACAATTATTGGGCTTACACTCAAACCTCTGGCACTGCTCTCTATCTACTGACAGGAAGAAGGTAGAGATCTTAAATATGTCCACTTCCTAAAGACTATAAAGTAAATATCTCTTGATACTTTCTCTTAAGCTTCATATTTCTATTTCCTGTCTATCTGTACCTTAATGCCTCATAAACTGTCACTTTATTTGTTCAAAAAAATGTTTATTTTTTAGTCATTGTTCAGGTTACTTGAGGATAAATCAGTAGACAAAAAGTATAAAAATTCCTACTTTTCTGAAGTTTACATGCTAGTATACTTCTAGCTTACATTTTGGTATGTAACAATTGAAATTTGGATGTCTCAAACTAAGTTTCTTATCCTAATGGTGGTTTTATTTCAGTTTTTCTTTTATTATCCCTAGTACTCTAACTTTCCCATCTTTTCAGTATTGCATTATAATTTATTTTTTCTCTTTCTAATATATCGCTGTCATCATGATTCTTGTGACGTTTCTTTCCATATCTGCATTTGACCCTGTGCCACGCTCTTATCTGCTGAGATGGCTTAGAACATCCTCTTGGTAGTCAGTCCCCTACCTCTGATAGTCATTTCTGTTTTGATTTATCCTGCATGATTAGGCTCGCGGTTATGAGCTGGTTGAGAGAGACTGGACTGGCAGATAAAAACCACAGGAGCTTTAGTTGTGCACTTGCCACAACCCAGCTAAACGAACATGTCAAAATAAAATTTCTTTGCTTTCAGTTATCATATCTGTAAACTGTAGAATTTGATCCAAATGATTTAAGAGCTCTTTTTAATATTTTTAATACCAGAAAAATTACAAGAATAAAACAAATGAATATTTCTGTGTCTTTCACCTTTACCTATTGTTAATTTTTGCCACATTCCCTCACTCCTGTATATTTTTTTGTATACACACACAAACACAGTTTTACTGTTTACTTATTAAGAATATTTTTGCTTTATAATTTGAGAGTTACCAGATTTCTGATACTTACACAAGCGTTATCAAGAAAATGGCATAACTCTGTAATCGGAGTATAGTTTTCACACTTGGGGAAACTGAACATTCGTATAATGCTATTGTTTAATATGTAGTCCATTTTCAAATTTCTCAGTTTTCCTAATAATGTACTGTAAACTATTTTTTTAAAACTCTCAAAGGATCTTTGGTGCATTTGGTTGCCATGTCTCCATTGTCTTGTTTAACCTAGAACAAAGTTTCCTTGCTTTTATGACATCGACTTAAGTATTTAGGCTAGTTGCATTGAAGAATATCCCTCAATTATGTATTTGTGATTATCTCCTTATGATCAGATAGAAAGATTTTTGACACAAATATTATATAAGTGATGTATTCTCACTGCACTCTTTAAACAGGCACATAATAACAGTTTAGCACCTAACTGGTGATTTTAAGTTTGATCATAAGGTTAGATTTGATTATAAGGTCATGTGAAGAATTTTTTTTATAGTTCATAAGTGATCTGTGCAGTGATAACTTTGAGACTGTGAATGTCCTTTTTCCAGCAGTCCTTCCCCCAGTGTTACTAGCATCTTGCCTGAATCAGATATTGTAGTAGTAGCGGTAAAATGCTCATTTTGAGGCCTCTCTTAGTCTTAAAAAGAAATTACTTTGATTTTCAAAATTTATATACCATATTCCTCATATCACTTTCCTCCCGTTCAAAAGCTACAATGATTCATTCCTCTCTAGCTTCATTTCTTACTTCTTTTACTTATAGATTCTGTCCTTAAACCAAGCTATTTTATATTCAGGTATTCATGTATATAAACATACATGAAATTTGTTCCTTTGCATATCATTGTTTCACATTTAATTGGTTCTGGCAGGAGTACCTTTATACTCTGTCAATTAATGCCCCTCTCATTTTAAATTTAGCTCAGGTCTCACCTTTTGCAGATTGGCTTTTGCAATTCATTCTCAAATGCCTCGTCAGTACAGAACTTGAGCACTTCGGCTTAGGGGATAGGGCCATAAATGTGTGGCACTGCTGGCTTTCCCCTTCTGCTGTATACGTGGAATAGCACCAGTTGACCTTGATAACTTTCCCTGCCAAATTCAGGAAGGATCCTTCTCAACACAGTACTCTAAATAGCCAGTTGTATACATATATAAATTGCTATAATACTTTCAGAAAAACATATATACGAGTACATTTGGGTTAATAAAAGTAGAAAAGGTCAAACAGGAATCATGCAGATAAATATAATGAAACCTAGGCTAAGAAAATTGTCACAGTTGAGTGCTGCATTCAGCGCCGAGCTTCCTGGCAGCTGAAGCAAAAAGGAAGCATCCTATTCAGTGTGGTTTTTATCTTTTTGAGTTGAAAGGACAAGTTTCTTTGACACATGAAACAAAAAATTTCCCTTCTAAATCATAAGATGTCTTAATTTGCTAGTTCATTATTTTAAAAACATTGAACTATTAGGTGAACCATATGAAATTGCTTTTTTAAAAGTCAAAAACAGTTGAATACTGATGATTTCATATGGTTCAACCTAATACATAATGATAAATATCTTCAAACATTGATGTTATAGAAGATGCAAAAACACTCCTAGTGTGACTTACTCTCTATAAACAGATGACACAATATTAAAATGCAATATTAAAAGGTGCTTATTATTAAGATAGAACTTAAAACTCTGTAGAGGAATGAAGATTAGGCTGACTCCATAGAACTTCCTCAAATATCAATTCAAATAGGCTTTTGTCAGAGGCTGAGTAACTATTATTGAAGTTGTATATTCTATCAAGTAGTTGAAACTTATTGCGAATTCATTAAAGGGTAACAACACACATTTTAGCTACTCAAAAAGGTGAAATGACACTGAACAGGATGCTTTCTTCTTGCGTTAGCTTATTATTAATTAAATTATAAAAATAATATGTGGATATGGCAAAATGGATTTAATAGTATGAAAAAGAAAAAATGAAAAATAAGTTTCTCCATACCCCACATCCAGTCTCACTTCCCAAACATAACTGTATTAAACAGTCCTTGATATATCTTTTTAGAAATTTCTGGATACATGCAAACATATAAAAACATATATTTATAAAGTATATATCCTTTTAATAGCCTTTATTTTTTTCCCTACAGATATATTTATATATACCTACTGTCCTGAAACTTGAATTTTTCATTTTAATCTAGAAAACGTTTCCATATGGATGCGTAAATCCACTGAGGAAAAACATATAATCTGTTTAATCAGTAGTACCCAGTTGTTAGGTATCTGAGTTGGTCTAGTTCTTTACTGTTATAATGGTGTTGCAGTGAATACCCTTGTGCATATTTCTCGCTTCCTCTGTGAATATAAATATTGGTAAGATTCCTAGAAATAAAATGGCTGGGTCAAAGGGCATATACATTTGAATTATGATAACTTTAATTAAACAGAATAAGCCTAGAGAGCCTAACTTTTCTCGAAACTTCTTACAGACAGAAAGCTCTTGAAGTTCAGGGGGGAAAAAATGTGTCTCACAAAATTACCCTATTTTGCCGTGTATGATGCGTACCCATGTGTTAGTGCCACCCATGTATAATGCATATCCTTATTTTTCCCTAAAAAATTTGGGCAAAAAAGTGCTTATTATACACAGCAAAATATGGTAACCAATTAGAAATGTTGGAATCGAGGGTATTCTGAGAAGAAACATTTAGATAGTCCTTGATAGCTAAAGTGAGGTTTGACTGAGCAAGCTTTTTAGAAAATCCATCTAAAATTATTTTGAATTTTAAGTAATTAAGAATCAACTCAGACAAGAGAATAAATCACTTTAAATTTTTTTTTTTTTTAAATAAAGGTTAAGAATGGGTAAATCAAACAATCAGAGGTTCTTGGGAGGTTAATGGTGATAAGTTTCAGTGTTTGCTTGCCCTTTTAAACTATTATTTCCTGGGATCCTTAATTCTACCTCTTTGTTCATTATGTAGATTTGAGCTCTCTTTTTAATCTAAGTAAATGGTGATTAAAACGTAGAGATGATACAGTATAATATATGAGATAATTCATCAAACAAATACTTAAGTGCCTCATATATGCCATTGCTGTTTTAGGGAAACATCCTGATATCAAGGAACTTACAAATCACATCACACTTGCCCTAGCTTGCAATTGCTATATTCTTTGAGTATCTGCCTGTGAAAATATGCCCTATGTTTGTATGTATGTATGTGTGTATGTATGTATGTATGTCATCTGTACTCTCCATTATTCTTTCCCCTCGTCCTGCTTTATTTTTCTTTATATCACTATACCCACCTGACATATTTGTTGTTTATCTTTCTCTGTCAGTAGATTGTAAGCTTCAAAATTATAGGGTCTTTTCCTTTTAACTACTCTCACGTCCCTGGCACCCAGCACACCATACAAGAGACACTCAATAAATGTGTTGAATTTGTCGAATACCTCTTTAGTATCTGTT